GCCAGTTCTGATTTCTGAATACCGAGGATGAGCTAGATTATGATTAAAGAATTGCGTAACACGAATTGCTTAATATATGACAGAATTGCATTCACGAATTCGTAGAGATTTAGAAATGAACACCGAAACGGCGGAAATCGGAAAATAGCGAGATATTTGAAACGGAGGTCACGGACCTTCGGATCGTTCGCAAACTTTACCCGCGCTCGTCAAATACGTTCCGAGTCTGCGGCGTCTAACTTGACTAATTGGCTCTCCACTGGAACTGAATAATAATTGAATAATGGAATATTGAGAGAGCGCGAAGAGGCAACAGCACGAGTTTCGAAATTTTCGCATGCTCGCGTTCAATCGTCAAATGTTTCACACGACTCAGATTCGCCAGCCGCATTATTTATCTTCCGATTTTCCAAGGCCGATTCGTTTCTTTTTCTTTGTCTCTATGAAAATACCCGCATAAAAATAGCAATCAAAGCGATTTTATACGATCTTCGTATTTGCAAGAAACGGGTTTGTGCCCATCATCGGAGATTCAAACGAGAATTATAGTCACGAACGTAACGAGAATCTAATTTTCCGGAACGAAAGAAAAATCGATGCCAGTTTTTTGCGGTTACGCGCGAATGGATCGCGTAATGTTCGATTCGATGAGCCGACATTAACACCGTGTAATCCTGAATCGGCAATCAGGGATTGAAAACCTTGAGTCGGGCAATGATTCGGCGTTTGACGGGTTAGGAAAGTTTTTGCCGTGGAAAAAGGGTGAAAGGAAAAAAGCGAACGTACGCTCCAGGGAATCGAGGTATCGGTAGAAAAATGTTCTCCCTAACATGTAAGTTTCAAAAACTTTCCCTAACTGAATTTTAACTCGGCTACGAGTCGTTCTATTAATATTTCCCTCGCGAAATGCACTTTGAAAGTCAAATGGCTGGTGTGCATCTCTTCTCTGTTTACAGTGGTACATCCTGCGAGGAAACTGACTTCCTATTAAGTCTTTCACGTCGCGTATATTTTTCGCGTAAAGCTATAGCGAGGAAAGTTTACGCTATTTATTCTTTAGAAAGTGCGGGTCTTTATGTACGAAAAAAGAACGATGCTTCGATAAATGATTATTCGGATAGTTTACCTAACGACTTTATTGAACACACCGCTCCATTATTCGAGTTCTTACAAAAACTGATGTTCTCATAACTTAAACTCACCTCATAAACTCCAAACCGACGTAAAAAAATCCAAATCGAATCGTAACGTATCACAGTTAAAGCTAAAGTTTCCGAGACATTCTTAAAATTACGCAAACATGAAATCGAAGGGAGTATTTCTTTATATCTTAAAAACATGGCTATGCAATTACTTTTCTTGGAACGCTAGAGACACATACCATTTACGTATCCGACCACCAGACGATAATATCGGCACGTGACTGCGAATAATTTTCCTCTGTCACCTGCAAAAACCTCGTGCAACGCCGCGTCACGTTCCATCGCGTGAGATATTGCCGATCATCCTACGAGAGACCGGGCATCGTTTCAATTTCCCGTGCGTCGGACTCTTGTTCTCCGCCGGTGAACTTGGTCGTATCATGACGAACGACCGAGGCAACGGCAGCACCATTTTTCTTCGACGTGAAATTACTACCGAGCTCTTTAACAAACGTCGAGTCATTGTTATCGCGCCGGGGAACGACGTGGTCCGTCGCTTTTTAGCGATAACCAAGAGGGCGAAGCAGAGGCGGAACCTCGCTGGATGCCACATCTATCGTCGAGTCTCGAACGTCGATCGTTCCCGTTAACACACGAGTGAACAAAATAAATAAGACGTTGGATCGAATTTATAGGAGACGAAACTGGGTGAAGTACGCCCGGTCTGACTGCAATGTCCTATTCTACTTGACACGATCTACTTGATGGTATCGTTCGAGCGAGGTCCAGACGAATTATTTTTTAACGCCGCTTCCAATTAAACTAACTAAACGAACTTTTAAATCCGGTATACATACTTTATCGACACATCGATCCATTTCTTTTTTAATACGAAATCGAATTTTCAAATTACATAGAAGCTTAATTGACGTACAGAGAGTTAATTGACGCACAAATGACTGATTGTAATTGTATTCAATCGAGATAAATTCAGACGAGAATAATATCGCAGTAGCGTTGAAAAATTAGAGAAACTAAACGAAATAATAACCTAACAACAACCTTCGTTAATCACCGATTGCTATTGCTAATAACGTACGCTTGATTTTTAATTTCCCTGTTGCTAATTACAATCATCAATACAGAATTCACACATACCTGTTTAGGAGCAGCCTGGGCATCCTCCAGCTCCAAAAACCCGCCGTGTGTCCCAGCCAAATCGTTTCTGCTTTTCGTTATCGATGCGAAACCAAATCGCAGGTGCTCGTCTTCGTCCGTAGAAATCTCCCAGTTTCCCGTGAAATCTGCTCTTCGGGTCTGACAGAACCAAAAATTAAGCACAAAAACACAGCACAATCGTCCTTGAGAAATAGCTGAGACCGCCTCGTGTTACCGGCGATCACCAATCGACCGTCTCATACGATACGTCTCCGAAGGCGTCGCGGCGCTCACTGCGGAGACTTCGCTGCGTACCCGCCCTTATAGCATCGTGTTGCGCTCACACCGTGCCCCCTCCCCTCGCTCGGTCCCCTCCTCCAGCGTTTCTCTCGCTCTTCACCCTTCGTTTCAACCCTCTGCACCGTACCGCGAACCTCGTGCACCCCTCGCGCCATCCTGACCACCCACGCCGCCACCCTGACCACCCATACCGTCACCCTTCCATCCCCGTACTCTGCACCGTCACCATTGCCACCACCCACCTTAGAGGATAACGCAAGCGTTCTGGAATAAGCGTTCAAAAGACCAGCCGAAGCATTCTTCGTGTATGCTTCGGTACCTTGTGCGCGAAAAATCGAACGGCTTGAGAAATGAACGTGTTCGAGATGCAGTTTCGCTGATTTCAACGATCGAACGATTGGTATCAGCATATCTATTTTTGTTCTTTTTCCTTTTTTTCCTGTTTTTTTTTTTTTTGGTTTCGTTCGAGAATTACCGATAGATATTTCAGATGGAACTTGGAATATCATTACGTTGATTGACATCGAGGATTATCCTTTTTATAAACTGAAGGATTGTTAGCGAAAAAAGGTTGGATGGCACAAGGTCTAGACAGATTCTAATTTACTCGAACTCACTGGCACTCGCGTTATCCCGCTGTAAATCACTTGGACTCGCTCCAGTGCTCGTCATACCGCGCGTGAACGTCACGCTAACCTTCTTCGATTCGTTCCAACTCACGAGGACCGGTTTCAATTTGAGCGAACTTCTAGAATCCACTGGAAATCCTGCGGAATCGTTTCAATTCGTGCTAACTTTTCCCACAAGCACACCGACCTGCACGAACCTATTTGGATGTGTACTGAGAAACTCGTGGATACCTCGACTTCTGTTAACTGTTTCGCAATTCTACTACTCGCTCTAAATCATATTAAATTTCTTAAATTCGATCTGCTTCGAATAGATCGCAGCTTCTCTGACGTACGACCCGCGTCTAATCACCGTTAGCATAGCCAACTCGAGTTATTTACATTAACACAGGACCCAATAGCAAATTTCCCTATCAACTGTTTTGCAATTCCGCCACACGCTTTAACTCATGTTAAATTTCTCAAACAAATCGGAGCTTCTCTCACGTAAAATCTAATCTTCCATCGTTCCATCATTCAATTTGAATTAGTCATATTAATCCCGGGAGGGATCCACATAAAATTTTCTAATTTCACTTCGTGCCAAATTCTCTGTCCCCTCGAATCTGTCTCAAATCACGTAGTGTCCATTTCTAATTCACATTAATCCGCTACTACGCTCTTCAAGCCCAGAACTCGCGTCAACCCTCTTTCCAAAGTTCTCTAACTCGCGCAGCGCTCTCGTGTCAATAGATCTAGCGATAGCCGCGCGTGTCCGCTCGAATGCGCGTCAATCCGCTTCAACTCGTTTGGATCCGCCTGCTCGTAAGTCTCTACGCTTGTCACGTACCTGCATGGTATATAACATCGCGTCTCTCTGACGCAGACGTATGTCCAACTGTCGGTGGTGAACGTCCCGCATCATTAATTTATCCATCGCCGAGACTGCTCCGGGGCAAACGGGTCGCGACATCCAAGCTCATCAGACAACCAGGAAAGCCCAGGGGATGATGGCTCGAAAAAACATCCTTTTCCGAGCATCTTTGGCCTGGAGATGATTCCATCGTCTTTTGTTCTTTGCTTCGAACGTATCTGGGAGAAGGTGATTGTTTCATACCTCTGGCAGGTGTTGCAGCTGTCGTTTCTTTCTTATTTTCTCGCGTTTCAAGAGCCGAAGGAAATTGAAGACGAAACAGAGCGTTTCGTTTAAAAACATGACGCGAGTATAGAGAGACACGGAGTAACGCGAGATCTTTCTGAGTTGTTTCTCATTATAAGGGGATTAGTGAAACAGGTAATTTGACAAATTGTAGGCTTTTGCATATATTCTGAAAGTTGTATACGCGTCTTGGATTCGTCTTAAGGAGATCAGATTCGATTCATTTGATATGGTTTGCCTAAAGAGATTTTTTAAATGTTGGATCCCCGAGATGTTATAACTAATTAAACTGCGGAGTTTTATACATATATGGGAAATTTGAAGTTGCAAAAATACATGTAATATAATATATAAAATATCCAAAATAAGGTATTTATTATAATATTTAGTAGATGAAGCAAATTTCTATTCTAATTCCATCTCTTTAGCTATGTTCATAAAAATAAAAGAAAGTGCATAAAAATCCGCAAACTAATTATAACTCACGGATCTACTTGTATTGCAGTTTTAAGTATCAAATGGTATATTTTGTATTAATACTATATCGTTACATTCAGATTTGCTTTCTATCCCAGTGTCGACGACATTTCCATCAAATCTTCTCTGAAGGGATGGAAGTAAATTTAACGAGGCTGGTAACAAAGATCTCGTTTATTCGACAACCAGTCGCGCTCGTACAGCACGCGAGCGGGAGCGCAGGACGAAATCTACAAAATCGTATGTTCGTATACAACTGGCACCAAGTTGCCTCGTTAAATCCTCGGCAGCTGCTCCTTCGTGATACGCAACGGTTGGCCTGAAATATTTACCGAATACGCAACAGCAAACTGCACCCGGGATAAATTTATTACGGCTAATATTCCCTCGATGCGCTCTTACCTCCCTTCCAAGCAATAAAACATCGTCAAATAGAAAAAATATGCTGAATTATTGTCTTAATGCACGCATAATATCACCGTTCGTGCGAGTTTCGCCGTTCGTGAAGTAAAGGATGCTCGAGGATTTATGAGGCACGGGCGCGATCAAATATAAAATCGTTTCAAAAGATAAAATATACATTTTGCACGGCACACGCCATCGATTAAAATGCCAGTCGCGTAGATACGCGGCAAACAGTATTTGGTCTTTTCAATTTTATAATATCGTAATCTTTATGAAAAGGCGATTGATCGAGCATCAACGAAGACGCGATGCACATGAGATGTAGTAATCTATAAAACACTTGTAACAAAGTAAACAACAGTCTTACAGCAACAATTCCACGAACATTACCACCACCACACATGAATGAGAAAAGAAGTAGAATATAATACATCGTACGACGTTTTGTCCTATCTTATAATAATAATTATATAATAACTGCGTCATATCGTGTGTTCATGTAAAATTCTCGAACTTGAATCGGGCTACTTTCTCATGATGCAGAGTTAAACATCGATGTATTAACGTATCAATCCACTAGGAATTGTAATATATTCATACTGTCCCACTCGATCCACCTTAAAAAGATAACTGCAATGCTAGAAAAACATCGAGATATAATTCCTATTGGATACCGGCTTACACTCACAAATGTTAACAACGATATAAACTAGGCGCATGAATTTCTAAACTCCTTGAATCGAAGCATAATACTTAAGGCATTTGCTTGTGATTTAAAATTTCGTTTATGAAGTGTCACCGTTCCTTTTTCGCGATCGAGATAATAAAAAACTTAGACTCCCGTTAACGTCGAGGAATCGTTTGAAAAATAGCTTATACACGGATCGAAGGTAAAGTCTGCGAGATGTGAAAAACAAGAGGAAAAGTACGATTGATGGAACAGTGGCGAGTTTGCCTCATTCACCGACTGAAATTCTTCTTGCCGACCTCTCTGTAATCTTCGCTTCACGTTCGATTCTTTGTTTCCTATACCGTGGAGTAATCCTCGATCAGGTTCTCACCGAAGTGAGTTATCACGTAATCGTGGTAATACATCATTATGCAAAGTGGTTGTCCGATAATGAGACTCGCCCACACTGTGATATTGCCCCATCTGGCGCCGCAATGCTTCTGCACCTTCTTACTTATCAGTGATAATGGTATCTGGAAAATCAATTAAAAAAGTTTCTTCATCGAGGGTGGCAGACTGCAAATTAATATTAATCCTTCGACAGTTGGATCGCTTCCGAGAAGATGATTCTTCCGCGGGAAACTTTCGAGCGACTGAGATAGCTGATATCGTGTCGGAGGATTTCTTTGGTTCTTTGTGTGACTGGATGTTTGACGAAGGAATTGGTTGATTAAAATTTCTTTCAACTCTTTCGGTACAGTACAGCTCGGATCAGGAGAGTGCCTATTGGCTGAACGTGGATGAACGTTTCAAAGTTTTAAGCCTGCGAAGATCGCGATCCTAGAAATTCCCGCTGCGGTGTATCTGAGAAATGCAGTGAGTATAATAATATGCACTTCAGTGACAATGTTTAATGCAGTGGTGTAATGTTTCCTCTTTTATATAAAAAGAATGTGAAAAATGAACTAATAAAGTAACTAAGTTTGTAATAATCATTTAAATACAGTGACCAGAATCCTTCATTGATGCGCGTATATCTGTATAACGATCGTTATAAATAATACTAGTATGTTTGGGATATATTTTGTCATAATCTCAGAAATATAGAAATGTCGATGTCATTCTAAGAAATTTGCAATATCAAAGTCTAGTCGGGAGCGACAGACACGTAGAAATGTCATATGTAACATAAAAGCACTTCGTTGTTAATAAACTTGACAACGTGTCTATAGAAAAATATTTGTAAAAAGGTTTCTTATGTAACTGACAGATTTCTCGTGACTTCTGTAGAGTTAATAATAAATTCTCAAAGCTACTCGGCAGCTATTCTTCATTTTCTTATTCAAATATATGAGGACAAAATTCCCGAAGCTAGCGAGTGCACCAGCGATGGGTGATTATAGTCTCCCACCATGCCGAAAAGATTGAACATCGGCTCCATAGACATAATTTAGATCGTGAGTCGAATATTATACGAGTAAATTTTACCTGTCCCATCATTCCCAGGAACGCCCACGTTTTGAACGTCTTCAACGGCACGCTGACGAGATACTCGTGGAAGAAGGCGCTGATGAAGAACACGATGACGGACGCGGTCGTTTTCCCATAGCCGATCTCGATGATGGGAATGTACAAGTGCCTGGAACCAAAATAATCGCGCAAAAACGTTTCAAGCTTGGCCACGATTAAACGGAGGAAAATTACGCGGCCGTTTAATAGAAAGGATCGGGGCATTCTCTGGCTCGTTTCCCTCGACGATTCTCTGTGCAGCGAAAATACCCGAGAGAGCGTCTCCTCGGCGTGTAGTCGCCCCTATTACAATGTTGTACCGCAAAATAGCGGGCGCAAGCGTTAAAAAAAGGACGAGAGAGGCGAAGGAGAACGAGGATGTAGATAAGGAGCGTGGCGTTTAAGGATCAGCGTGGGCGGAATCGTCTCGAAAAATTAAAGCAATGGCTGTGCAAGTTTGTCGGAATAGCGACACTGTGGTATGTGTCGGTTCACAGAATGGGGGAGGGGAACGACACGAGTCACCGAGAGACAGGAAGAGATCGTTAGCCGGCTTGGTTATCAGTAGCAGTGCATTGGAATGAAGAAAGCTGCAAGACGGCGAGGGAAGAGGAAAAAAATGGCGCAAAGAAAAGAGCCGGCGTACAAGAGCGAGAGAAACGGAAGGAAGGAAGGAAGGAAATTCAAAGGTGGGAAGCTGTCGTCGTGGACGGTTTCGTCGCCGCGATGAAGAGATGTCTTTCCTTAAAGGTCCACTCTCCTTGTTGCTCCACGAAATAGCGGCCCCTTTTCTTCTTTCTGTTTCGTTTTTACCATTCCTCCTTCAATCTCGGTCTTTCTCCTTCTCTCCACTTCCCTTGCTCGTGGTTCTCGTCGTTCATGGAAAAGACGCTTCGAAATATCTTCCAGTTATAGAGGCATTATAAGTGCCGCGGGGAATAAACAGCCTTAAGTGCGCGCACCACGATGCGTATCGGCTTTTCCCATTACAAACCTGAAAAGACGTCGTCTTCGTCGACAGTCGTCCTTCCCCCTTTCCGCCGTCTGCGACCGTCTACGTCCTCTCCCTGTACCCATCCTCCTCCGTGCAGCTTTTCCATTTTCACCTCTCGCGCCCATTCCCCTCCCCGCCCTTCGCTCGCTTTTCTACCACTCGTTGCCGCCGCGGTCGCATGGCTGCGTGCCAGTTGCAGCTCGCAATTGCAGCTGCATATCTCGGCCCAGACAGAGAAGAAAAAAAAGAGGGAAGAAGGAAGAGAAGAACGCGGAGAAGAGTTGGGAGCACAGGTGCAGTTCGAAGAACGTCGAGGGACGGGAATGAAATTCGAGTCTTGGGAACGTCGCCGATTCCGACGTTTCCGAACAGCGAAATAGATCTTTGTTTTTGCCCGGTTTAATTATATAGAATTCAGTTAATTGCAACTTAATAAGATTCTTTCCCGATTAATCTACCTCGGACCGAGGCGTTCACAGGCCTGGAACATTAACTGCGTTGCGTATCTGTCGAAACTCGACCGTTTCACTCGATCTTCATGCACAAGCGTGCACCTCCTCTCCTCTGAGAGTTATACCTTTAGACAGTAAAGAATTATTGTTTTCTCGTGTATCGTTTCTCACGAGATCCCTTCGATCCTCGGATTTCCAACCCTTCCACGTACACGACACCGTTCGTCTCCCGCGGCCCCGCAATAACAACTTTTCCACGGCTACCTTTTTCGAGGATTTAAACTTTCCGCGGAGCTACTTTCGAAGTAAAAGCGGCCGTCGTCACCGCGGTGGCGCGAGTTGTTAGCGGCACGTGCACCGGCAAAACCGGTGGAAAAGTGGAAGGCCCTATATGGAAAGTTTCTCGCAACTTTGCTGATTGTATTGAGCAAGCGATGCATAATCCAATGGAACGATGACGGGTAAGACGTATGGGAATAAAAAGTGCCAACAGGGCGTAAGCTCGCGCTTATCTGACAGTGTACTCTGAACAAGATTTATCCAGAAGTTCTTGGAAAATCGTAAATACTAAGTTTAAACTTGACGATAGGTGACTGGAAAAAAAAGGATATTCAACCTTCGAACAATCGTCAGAGTACCAAAACGTGATTCCATATCGAAAACGTATGAAATCACGTACTACAAAATTCTATATACTGGGATTTGAATATCACGCCTAATTGTTCTCGATTGAAATTAGTTTTTGACGTGTACAGATGTGAATATTTCATTTGTTACACAACGATTCAACTACCCTGTAACAGTCGTGTATGATTCGGGCCAAATGGAAATAGCAATGGTTTAAAATGGAAACTAATTTAAAGTGACATCGATGGTCGGTGTTACGCGCGTAAACGCGGCTACGAATTAATTTTCCGAAATGAACGTTAAAACAGAAGATTTCGACGCGCACAGATCTGCAGGTAGTTCCATTTTGCGGCAGAATAGTTTTCAAACAGCAGCCGCCGTCCGACACCCTTTCCAGTTACACAGACATTAAAAGTACTACTTAGAGTGGCAGCGGTTATATATATAGAAGGGTGTAGAGAAAAGGTGGGAGTGTACGGTAGAAGCTAAAACAATTAGCCGCAGAGCAGTTTCCACAGGGGTTGAAAGAGGCGGCGGTCCGAGGGATGGTGTACAGGTTACGGGGGAAAGTCTCTGATTCGCGGAAATTTCTCTTCCTATTCGGAGACCAGACAGGTCCCGGGTTCTCGCGAAAAATGTAATTAAATCTCCTTAAAGCAGGACACACTCGTTAACGAAGTTTAGCCGCTTAGGCGAAAAGAAGCTCGATCAAAAGTACGACTCACGGCTGGATATTGTTTTCTTTCTTTTATCTCTCCTCGCCGATCTACCTTTATGTATCACGTCTCGCTCCTACCATTTACACCGTCTACTGCGGAACTATTCGCCAGGAAAGCTAAGTTTCATAATTTCAGCGCGCTCAAGCTCGAAATGACAATTTGCAAAGCTATTTGAAGTACTGTAACGCGTTCGATTAAACGCGACATCTTCTTCTGAATCTTAATGCAAGTTTGATCATACTATCGATTTTACTAGAAATAACTCGAAGTAGCTATCTTTTAACTCGAAGCTAAATTATGTCTCTATACTATATCGTTAATCGTAAAAATCTGCAAATTACTATAGCCCGTATTTGCAACGTTACACGAACTTCAAGTTTTACCAAATCTATACTTTTCAGCGAAATAACACGATTAACTGTCACGAAACAATACAAGATTCAACATCTTAAAACCTCAAAATTGTAGGTATGCTAGCAGCCTGCTGCGAGATAGAATCAAAATGGTGTAATCTAGTCTAGGCTATCGCTTAAACGTAAACGGTGGCTCCATTTCGAATCGTAGCAATCTACGATCTAACCTTTTATACCGGTATTTTTCGATCGAACCAAATAGGGTGTGCGCAGGATCGTTTACTCGACCAAACGGTGGCTGGTCGTCGCACGATCGAAATCCAACGTATTGTGGCGCCCGGAACATCGTATCAGCGATACTTACCGCACGGCCCACCGATGTACAGGCATATTCCATGTCCTCCAGAAGGTGTCGATGTTATCCGCGTTCCACCAGTCGCAGTAGAAATTTCGATCAGCAAAATGTAACAGTTCACCCATCAGATTGAGGAGCGAATGGAACATCAAGTAGAAGAAGCACAGCCAGACCAGATGGTTCGGTATCTACAAAAACGCACGAAAACAAATATACGTTCATACGCGTGGTTAAAAAAGAGCATTTGGGATTATAACGAGAGTCGTATGTCAGAAGGGTGAACATTTATTTGGAGAACGGGTGCAAATGGAAGTCACTTTCATCTTCTCTATTACCGGCGGTGAAATGTTTTTCACGCGATGTATCGTTTCGCGCGCGTTGATCTTTATTAGATCGCAAATGTACAACATGCGAGGGCCAGATAGCCGACAGCGACGCCAGCCAATATTTTATTTCCCTTTGTTTCGTATCTTCGTCCGGGGGCGGCTCGTTAATCCAATGCAAATTCGCGTCTCTCGATATTCCATTCCCGTAGCCTTAGGCGACAGTGCAATTTCGTGTAATTCTTAACCAGTGTTAGCGCACACTCGCCGAGTACAGAAACTGGCTGGGAAGAGTAACGACGCGATGGGAGGAAGAAAATATGATAGCCGCCGAGGCGTAACTACTAAAGGAACATCGATAGCTGTTTCGCATTGCAGAATATTTAAAATAACCTGCTAATGACGAGACAAAGAATTAACTGGGGGCGGTACGAAAAAAAGAGAAGGATCGGCCGCGTTATTCACATTGGACTCCAGGGCGAGAGGTAATTCCACGCTTGAGTCAGCGCGTCTTGTTAAGTCTTCTTGTTGCCGAGTCTTTGGCAGCGAATTTCCGAAAAATTGCGACGAAATAATATCACCGGGAGAGTGCAATCGCTGCACAGAATCGCAGAGAAGAACACAGAGGAAGGTAAAAGGCAATCGTGTCTGCAGCGAGATCAGACGGATTCTTCCGGCGTAACCATCTTCCTTTCCGGCTTGCCCCACTCGGTCCAACGAAGAATTTTGAAGTTATTTCGTTTCGAATGTCTTCTCTAATTCCCCCTGAAGCACCCTCGCTGCTTCCGTTGGCCCTTTACGCGCTCCAAAGGACTTAATAATGTTGCCGAGCACAAAGGTCAAGTCTGTTCTGCCGGCAGGCATTCGTGGCACTTTTATGAAAAGAGAGGGAGAGCACATCTTTCTTCGCAGAAGATAGGATCTCCTCTGTCTTTCCTCATTTCATCACTCCTTTTTACCACCATCACCATCACCACACCGCTATTGCGCCTCTCTTCCCTCATGGGTAGTTCACGTACTTCGCAAAAACTTACCTCCTCTTTTAATTTCGTTTACCTCGGGTATGACGTCGGTTAAAAGAGTAGAAAGGGGTAGAGCACGAAATCACCCACAGGAGTGGGCGGGATAAAACCTTGTTGAACCGTTTGAGACACGCCAATGATACCACAAAGGAAAAAGTGGTCGGGAGAACTTTGAGTCTCGGCTTCCTGGCCAGCGGCTATTTCAAGAACGATACGGCTTCTACCGTGGCCCCAAGTTTCCATCAAGGAGGAAAAATCTTGGTGGGTGATATGTGACGCGGCAGAGCGAGAGACCCGCGGGAATTTGAATTTTCTCGGTTCGTTTGGTCGGCTCGTGGCAACTAAGTTTTCCTATTAAGCCCGCTCTTTTCAACGAACTGCTCCCAGTTACGTTACATTGTTATACTTCACTCTTCTTCTTTTTTATTCTCGAGAACTCACGAAAAATTATTTCCTGCTTCGGCGAAGCTGTTTTAATCTATTTAAAGATTTAAACCTTTCTTTCCTTTTGATAAACGTTGTTTTAATACATCAGGGACAAGACGAGGACCATGCAGTTACAGGAGTCTAAATTTCACAACTCGTGCCAACTTATATAGAAGATATAACAAGTGTTTAATAAAAGATCGAATCACTATTACGCGAAGCTTGCTGTGCTCAAATAGATCCAGTCCTTTAACCAAACAGAACGAACGTGCTTACGTTTCGTATCAAATGTTAGTCTACCGAAGATTGTATCGTTATTAAAGCAATATTTTTTCAAGAGATCGTCCTTGTGGCTCAAAGAGCGGAATGGAAGATCGATTCCTGATGGGAAATCGTATCGTGCTCGTCGGAGAAGAAATAATGACAAGGTTAAAAAGGATCGGGCAATTTCTCCGTCATCTCGACGAGACGTCTATAAAGTTTGCTCAATTTTTCTTCCGTTCCTGATTGTTATTCTTATATCCCGTTCTTCATACGATAACAGCTACTCCCGTTATATTACAGAGCCGCGTAGACCTTGCCGCTGCAGTAAATAGTACGTGACATGCTCCCACGAGGGCAATGATGAGCAGACAGAAAACGAAAAGCGAGAAGAAGAACAAAAAAAAAAAAAAAAAAAATGAGAG